ACCACGACCCAAGGGCTAGCATGGGCTGAGGGGAGGCGCCATGGACTTATTGGGCTAGGCGCACCAAGCCTCAAAAGCCCATGTGGCTAGGGAAGGGGAAAAAGGAGGAGTCCTAGTAGGAATAGGCTTGGACTCGGAGTCCAAGCCCTCTCCCCCTTAGCTGCACCCTAGGGCTTGGAGGGGATGTTCCGAACCCCTCCACCTATATATAGAGGGGAGAGGGCACCCCAAGAGGACACACCAAGCCCTTGGCGCCCCTCTCTCTCTCTCGTTACTCTGTAGTTCCTCCGTCCTCGTTCTATTAGCACTAGGCGAAGCCCTGCTGAACTAGATCCACCACCACCATAACCACCACGCCGTCGTGCTGGTTGTGCTCCCATCTAATTGTCCGCCTTCTCTTGCTGGATCAAAGGAGGAGGAGACGTCATCGAGCCTCATGTGTGCTAAACTCGAAGGTGTCATCCGTTCGGCACTAGATCAGTTGGATCGTGAAGAGTACGACTACATCAACTGCGTTATATACGCTTCCGCTTTTGGCTATGAGGGTACACACACACACTCTCCCCTCTCGTTGCCATGCTTCTCCTATATAGATCTTGGGTGTTCATAGGATTTTTTTTGATTTTCATGCTTCGTTCCCCAACATCTACCACTACGAGATTTGATCCTTGCAAATAACCGTCGAGGGGATTGACAACCCCCTTGATCATGTTGGGTGCAAATATTCACTTTTGTGTGTGCAGGCATTGCTAACGAGGTTTTGCGTGGTTCTCCTACTGAATTGATAACCTTGGTTCTTAACCGAGGGAAATACTTATTTCTATTGTACCACTTAATCCTCTCCTCTTCGAGGAAATCCCAGCACAGCTCACAAGTAGCAGTAGGTACCGGAGTGATCCAGGAGTGGAACACTAGACATCGGTTAAAAATATCCTTAAGTACCTAAAGAGGACTAAGGAAATGTTTCTTGTTTTGCAGGTGATAAAGAGCTCGTCGTAAAGGGTTACGTCGATACTAGCTTTGACACTGATCGGGATGACTCAAAGTCGCAAACTGGATACGTGTTTGTTTTGAATGGTGGAGCAGTCAGTTGGAGTAGCTCCAAGCAAAGCGTGGTAGCAGCATCTACATGTGAAGCAGAATATATAGGTGCTTCGGAAGCGGCACAAGAAGGAGTCTGTATGAAGGAGTTCATGTCTGATCTAGGAATGGTTCCTAGTGCATTGGATCCCATGACAAAATATTGTGACAACACTAGCGCCATTGCCATTGCCAAGGATTCAGATTTCACAAGAAGACCAAACATATCAAACGTCGCTTCAACTCCATCTATGATTACATCAAGGAAGGAGATATAGAGATTTGCAAAGTACATACATATATGTATGTTGTAGACCCGTTGACTAAACCTCTTCCACAAGCAAAACATGATCAACACTAGAACTCCATGGGTGTTAGATTCATTATAATGTAAACTAGATTATTGACTCTAGTGCAAGTGAGAGATTGTTGGAAATATGCCCTTGAGGCAATAATAAAGATGTTATTATCATATTTCCTTGTTCATGGTAAATGTTTATTATCCATGCTAGAATTGTATTGACCGAAAACTTAACTACATGTGTGGATACATAAACATACACCATGTCCCCTAGTGAGCCTCTACTAGACTAGCTCGTTGATTAAAGATGGTTAAGGTTTCCTACCCATAGGTATGAGTTGTCATTTAATAACGGGATCACGTCATTAGGAGAATGATGTGATGGAAAGACCCAATCGTAAGCTTGGCATCAGATCATATCACTTAGTTTAATTGCTACAGCTTTCTTCATGTCAAGTATATGTTCCTTAGACCATCAGATCTGGCACTCCCTAATACCGGAAGAATGCTTCGTGGGTATCAAACATCACTTCGTAACTAGGGGATCATAAAGGTGCTCTACAGGTATCTTGGAAAATATTTGTTGGGTTGCATAGATCAAGACTGAGATTTGTCACTCTGTGTGACGGAGAGATATCTCTGGGCCCTCTTGGTAATACAACATCATAAGTAGCTTGCAAGCATGTGACTAATGTGTTTAGTCATGGGGATCTTGTATTACAGGACGAGTAAAGAGACTTGTCAGTAACGAGATTGAACTGGATATGGCGATACTGGCGATCGAATCTCGGGCAAGTAGCATATCGTCAAACAAAGGGAATTGCATACGGGATTAACCGAATCCTTGACATCGTGGTTCAAACCGATAAAGATCTTCATAGAATATGTGGGAGTCAATACGAGCATCTAGGTCCCTCTATTGATTATAGATCGGAGAGGTGTCTCGGTCATGTTTGCATGTTCTCGAACCCATAGGGTCACACACTTAACGTTCGGTAACGCTATGGTAGTATTGGCATATTCATCATGGTGAGACCAAATATTGTTCGGAGTCTCGTATGGGATTTGGAACATCATGAGGAGCTCCCTCTCGTGGTTGGCATCTCCATAGAATAGATCTTGGATGTTTCATAGGATATTTTTTTCATGCAACGTTCCCCATCAAATTTCTCACAGTAGAAATGCCTAAATCAGTTAGGATCATTCTAGCTATAGATGCGTATTTCGACTATGAGATATGGTAGATGGATGTCAAAATGGATTTTTTTAATGGAAATATAAACTAGGACATGTATATGATGCAACCCCAGAGTTTTGTCAATCCAAAGGATGCAAGTAAGGTATGAAAGCTTCAGAGATCCATTTAAGGGTTGAAGCAAGCATCTCAGAGCTAGAACACTCATTTTGGTGAGGTGATCAAAGGGTTTGATTTCATCCAAAATGGAAATGAACATTGTGTTCACAAGAAGTTTAGTGGGAGCTCAATCGTATTTCTAAGCAAGCATCTAGGAGTTGGAACACTTGTTTTGATGAGGTGATCAAAAGGTTTGATTTCATCCATAAGAAAAATGAACATTGTGTTTGTTATGGTTGGGTTTTACCTTAATAAATTCTTTGTGTTTGCGGATGCTTGCTATGGTTTCAATCATAAGTACTCCCTCCGTCCCAAAATACTTGTCGGAGAAATTGATAAAAATGGATGTATCTAGAACTAAAATATGTCTAGATACATCCACTTCTCCGACGAGTATTTCCGGACGGAGGGAGTACATGTTATCAGTGGGCTTTATTGCATGTTAGCATAGGCCTCTCTCACATATAAAACTGTAATGCATGATTATGAATCTAGTATTGTAACCAATTGCTAGGGATATTTTTGCAATTCCTACCACTGCTACTCCATACTTGCTTTCTCTAAAACATGTAAACTATCTTTAGAAATTCTACGCAAAACAACGATTGATGCATGTAAGGTTTAATCAGTGAGACAGGACATCAGGGCCGCCAAAGTTCACCACTCCCTTGTCGGTCGCTTCCCCTTGGGGTCTCTGGAGCAGCGGTTGTCCTCGGCGTAGGGCGGAGCGTCATCATTGTCGAAGATGGTTCCGCTATCAGAGGAGGAGATGATCCAGGCCATACGCCGGACGACACGGGGGTGCTCCCTCGCGAGCCGGACGACTGCCTTTTGGCTCGTGAGCCGCTCGAACTCCTCGAGCCCGATGCGGTGCGCCATTGCATTTTTCCAGCACCGACAACGGGCGTCCTTCTCCACCGAGGTGTAGGAGCGACGAATGATGACGCGGAGGACCTCCTCGCCATCGCTAGCGGGCGGAAGCAGCTCCGCCACAGGTCTGTAGGACCCATAGTCGGAGCGTCTGGGGCGCCTGCGTTGCTCTCTGCCTTGCATGGCGATATACGTGTGCCTCGGACTCCAGTAGTCGTGGCCGCAGGCTCGGCGGTGCGGGCATGAGCACCTAACGCTGCCTAGGAAGAGCAGGAGCTGGAGATGTCGGGCGCCACTGGTTGCCCTACCGCTTGACTCAGGAAGGCGCGAAGTTGCACCTGTCCCTGCGGGCCACCGGGGACACTGTGGAGGAGGATCTCCTACCCCTATCCATCCGCAAGATGAGGGCAATGCGTAGCGTGTGCTCCTTGTCGTCCGGCATGGACGAGCTGGAGTCCTCCTTGACGAGCTCCGGCTAGTCAATGGAGTCGGATTCGCTGCTGGATTCGGTGTCGGCCATGATGAAGGGGAGGGTAGAAGAAGGGGAGGAGACGGGCAGTGGAGCGAAGCAGTCAAGTGGAGTAAGGTATGAACAAGGTTTGATCCGAGTGGGATATTTATGGGGACAACGGCGGGACGGTATAAGCCAGCATGGGACAGTCGGACATGGTGGTAACGTCCGAACACATCCGGTCCGTCCTAGATATGGGTTGGATACGAGATGGGGCTGGCCACTAGGACATTTGGAAAGGACATGGGAGCGCTGGTTGTGAATGCTCATAGCAAAGAAATAATGGATCGGATTTTTGCGAGAAAATCCTTCAAACAAAGTATAGGCCATTGTGCCTTGGAGATCGACAGTTGGTGAGAACCAACCTCACGGAAGATTTGTTACAGACGAAGGTGGGAATCGAGGTTGGTTGGGTTCAAATCACAAGAAGTTACATTGAGAGATTGGATTGAAATCGAGGGAGCAGGTTAATCCGTAAGCTCCTTAGGTAGCCTGGAAGTGTAGCATTTTTGCTTGGCTGGTGTGCTCTTATACCTGGCCATAAGTTGGGCTGGGCCGGGCCTAATAAAGCCCGTAGAAGAAAACCTAGGCCCAGCCCATCAGAGAAAAAGCCCGTCGGACACCGGGCCAGGCCTCTTTCCTAAAATGCAAAAATGCCAAGACAAGCCCATCGGACCGGCCTTCGGGCTAAAAAAATTAGGCCCAGGCCCCGACCCACAGGCAAGACCAGGCCGGTCAGGTGGGGCTTTTTCGGGTCGGGCCGGCCGGGCCGGGGTGTGCTCAGATTTCTTACGGACGTTCGACTGTTGTTGCTCTTTCGTCTGACGGGCTCTATCTCCGCGCGCGCGCACCTCCACCACACAACGTCTTCGAGGTAAACACAAATGGCGGCGCTCGCGACCATCCTCTGCGGCGGCGCCGTCGCCGGCCACCAGCGGTCACGCCGCCGCGCAGCCCCGTCGCTCCATGTCAGAGGCGGCTCCGCTTCGGACGCCGCCCACCTTGTCTGCGGTAGGAAGCTCCGCCCGGCGCTGTTCCCCACTTCCTCCTTCGGCGCTCTGCCCCTGTCTCCTCCGGGGAGTAGGAAGCTCCTCCGGACGTCGGCTTCCGCGGCCGCCCCCTCATCCGACTCCCAGGGGTTAGTGCCTCTTGGCTCTTGCCTTCCCGCAGCCCCCACTGCATTACGGAGTGAATTCCGCATTTTATCCATTAGTTGTGCCGTTGTAACAGCCTTTACTTCATTTAAAAAAAATCTTCCATAGTAGTTTTGTTATTTTTCCCAAACTGAAGAGCTCGATCTACTTGTTAGGACGACTGACAGCTGACTGGGCACACAGCTCAGACGCTTGTTCACTAGGGAAACACCAAACAATGCCTAATTCTTTCAAAATTTTAGTCAAATTCTACAAATTTGTGCCCTAACCCCTCCATCTTTCTAATTAAGGGATACAAGATGAAGTTGGACCCCTACACTTAAATCATGCTTTGTTCTGAATACTGTAAACCAATGCTCATAATTTCCCCCGATAGCATTCTATTTGGATGCCAATGCTACTATGTTATATATATATATTTTGTTCTCGACTTGCTGAGTGAAAATACTTTGTCCTACCAAAATTCATGAATTTTTGGGACGTGATTTCACATGCATGCTTTAGTTGGTCTAAATATGTATAGTATTCGTGAACATGCTCTCAACATAGGAGAAAATGTGCATTACTACTAATGGTACGTGGCCCTAAGAGCTGAGGTTATTCATTTCTATCCACTTGGATTCCAAGTTTTTTCAGAGTACACAGAGCCATGCATGTTAAGTACTCCCTCCGCCTCTAAATATAAGTCTTTTTAGAAATTTCAATGCGGACTACATACGGATGTGTATAGGCATATTTTAGAGTGTAGATTCACTCATTTTGCTCCATATGTAATCCATAGTAGAATCTCTAAAAAGAATTATATTTAGGAACAGAGAGAGTAGGATGATACGTGCCCCAGGTAAGTGAGGATGGTAGTCTCTTCAATAGTTTCCTATCTACATGCGCATGTGTTATACCAGGGTAACTTATACCTGCAGGAGGCCCACCGGGCAGGTTTAGTTAGGGGCTTAATCCACAAGTTATCTTATTTTCGTGGTTATATAAACAAGCTGTAAGACTCTTTTTCAGATTAAGCAATAAGACAATTCTATTGCCCGGCTCCCAGAGGAGCCAGAAACCCTAGCCGCCTCCTCTCACCGCCGCCGCCTCCTCCACGCGCATGACGGCGCCCAGCCGCCGGCGGCCGCGTGCTCACCCACGCCCTGCTTCCTCCTTCCCCTACAATCTCCGGCCTAGACCCGGTAGAACCCTAGCTCCTACCACCTTGGTATTAGGTAGCTCAGTTCCGATCATGTCTTCCCCGCCGCCCACCCTGTCGCTTTCGCTGCCGACCGGCACCACTGCGCCGCTGCCCTTCCCGTCTGCGCCGCTGGTCGCATCTTCCGGCGCCGCCATCGCCCAGATGCCGACGCCCTCCACCGCACCACCGGCCGCCGCCTACACCCCGGAGGAGATCACCGGGGTCCTCAACGACCTCGTCACCGCCGTCCAGGGGATCCGGCTGTACCTGGCCAGCCCCTACGGGCCGCCGCCGCCACTGGGCCGCCGGCCCTGGTGTGGTACTCGCCGCACCCAGGGGCCTCCGCGGCGTTTGCTGGGACGCTGCAGCCCCAGCTGCAGCTGTAGCCGCCACCCGCCGCCGCCCCGCAGTGGCCGCAGTGGCCGGCACCGGCTCCCGGCGCACCTCCAGCGCCCACCGCCCCCATCCAGCAACCGCCGCTGCTGCAGGCACCTCCACCACTCAGCACCGGGCCAGGGCCGACCACGCAGGGAGGCGTTCCGATCCAGCAAGTTCGCTTCCCGTCGTCTCCGTCACCGCTCCCGGCCTGGCTGTCCGGGTCGGCGCCGCAGCCCGTCTACACTAAGGCCGGGGAACAGCCGGCGCCCACCTTGCAGTTCGGCGATCCGTTTGGCTCAGCGGGTCCTTCCGTGGGCCGCGCCGACCCACCATTCCACTGGGGACCCCCGGTCCCCACCGACCGGGCGTCACCCTCCTCGCTGCTCCGCGCCATCGAGCCGTACGGCCGCGACGGTCATAACCAGACGCCGCCACGCTTTGCCAAGCTGGACTTCGCCACCTACGACGGGACTGAGGACCCCCTCAACTGGCTCAACCAGTGCGAGCAGTTCTTCCGGGGGCAACGCACACTCACGTCGGACCGCACCTGGCTCGCCTTGTATCACTTTCCGGGCGCCGCACAGACGTGGTACTACGCCCTCGAGCAGGACGAGGGTGGTATGTCTCCTTGGGAGCGTTTTTGCGAGCTATGTCTCCTTCGCTTCGGGCCGCCGATCCGCGGGAGCCGGCTGGCGGAGCTCGGCCGCCTCCCCTTCACATCCATGGTGCAGGACTTCGCCAACCGCTTCCAAGCCCTGGCATGCCACGTGCCGGGCGTGACGACGCAGCAGCGGGCCGAACTCTTCGTCGGCGGTCTTCCGGACCACATCCGCGTTGACGTGGAGCTTCGGGGACCCCAGGACCTCCAGACGGCCATGTACTACACCCGCGCCTTCGAGTGTCGCGCGCAGGCCTTGCAGCAGGCGGCCCTAGCTCACGGAGGCCGACAGCATGCCAGGCAGCCCCCGGCACCGGCGCCGGTCCGGCCGCTCTTGCGACTGCCACCCCGGCCGCGACGTGGCCCTTCCGTCGGCTCTCTCCGGCCGAGCAACTTGAGCGTCAGCGTCAGGGGCTTTGCTTTAACTGCGATGAGCCCTACGTGCCGGGTCACGTCTGCCCGTGCCTCTTCTACTTGGAGACAGCCGACTACATCGAGGAGGACACACCCGCCGACGGTCACGGCGAGTTGCCGCCACCAGTTGCTGCGGACGCCGCCCCCGCGGCTGCACCCGCGACGGCGCTCGTGGTCTCGCTCCATGCGCTTGCCGGCATCCGCGACGAGCGGACTATGCTCTTGCCGGTGATGATTCACGGCGAGCGCCTGGTGGCCCTCTTGGATACGGGCTCCACACATAACTTCCTGCCCGAGGCTACCATGCGTCGCTTAGCGCTTCAGCCGACGGGCGGGGAGCAACTTCGGGTCACGGTGGCTAACGGCGACCGCCTTCGGTGTCATGGGCTGGCACGGAACGTGCCCATCACTATCGGCGACGAGCACTTCACCATCACGTGCGCGGGCATCGACTTGGGCTGCTTCGACTTCATCCTCGGTGTCAACTTCTTGCGGACCCTTGGTCCCATCCTCTGGGACTTCGACGCCCTGACGATGACCTTCTGGCGCCAGGGTCGCCGCGTCCGGTGGGAGGGCGTGGGTGGCGCCTCTCTGGCGCCGCCGCAGCTTCAGCTTGCCGCGGCCGCCACCGAGCTCGAGCATCCCTTGCTGGATCACCTCCTGCAGCAGCACCGCGACCTCTTCGACGAGCCTCAGGGCCTTCCGCCAGCCCGAGTGTATGATCACCGCATTCATCTCCTGCCGGGCACGGCGCCGGTTGCAGCGCGCCCCTACCGCTATCCCCAGCTGCAGAAGGACGAGCTGGAGCGGCAGTGCGCTCTCATGCTCGCCTTGGGCATCATCCGGATCTCCACGTCGCCGTTTTCGGCGCCGGTCCTCCTCGTCCGCAAGTCGGACGGCACGTGGCGCTTCTGCATCGACTATTGCGCTCTTAATGCCCTGATGCTCAAGGACAAGTTTCCTATTCCAGTGGTCGACGAGCTCCTGGACGAGCTCCATGGGGCGCGTTTCTTCACCAACCTCGACCTTTGGTCGGGCTACCACCAGGTGCGAATGCACCCAGACGATGTCGCCAAGACGGCGTTTCAGACTCATCACAGCCACTTCGAGTTCTTGGTGATGCCTTTTGGCCTCTCCAACGCCCCGGCGACCTTCCAGGCTCTGATGAACGACGTCCTCCGCCCCTACTTGCGTCGGTTTGTGCTTGTTTTCTTTGATGACATTCTTATCTACAGCGCCTCGTGGGCGGAGCACCTTCAGCATGTCGCCATCGTCTTCAACGAGCTTCGGGCGTACCATCTTCATCTTAAGTGCTCGAAGTGCTCGTTCGGGACGCCTTCAGTCGCCTACCTCGGCCACATCATCTCGGTCGAGGGGGTTGCTATGGACGCCGACAAGGTGGCGGCCGTCGCGGCCTAGCCGACACCGCACTCACCGCGGGCTCTTCGTGGCTTCCTGGGCCTCGCGGGGTACTACTGGAAATTCATCCGGGAGTTCGGCCTCATCGCGTCACCGCTCACGCGCCTGCTGCGCCGCGACGCCTTTGCTTGGGATGAGGAGGCGACGGCGGCGTTCGAGGCCCTCAAGGGGGCCCTCACGAAGGGTCCCGTTCTTCAGATGCCGGATTGCGACCGCCCATTTGTGGTGGACTGCGGCGCCTTCGGTGCGGGGTTCGGCGCCGTCCTTCATCAGGGCGATGGCCCTCTCGCCTTCTTCAGCAGGCCCTTCGCCGCGCGCCATCTTAAGCTCGCGGCTTATGAGCGGGAGCTCATTGGCTTGGTGCAGGCGGTGCGCCATTGGCGGCCCTATCTTTGGGGCTGCTCGTTCCGGATTCGCACGGATCACTACAGCCTTCAGTTCTTATTGGACCAGAGGCTGTCTACCGTGCCGCAGCATCAGTGGATCAGCAAGCTCTTTCGCTTTGACTTCACCGTCGAGTATCGTCCGGGCCGCCTCAACACTGTGGCCGACGCCCTGTCTCGCCGCGACATGGACCACGACCCCACTGTCGGTGACTCCGAGGGGACGGTGCTATGCATCCGCACGGGGCCCTCTTTCGCCCTCTTCGCCGACATCCAACGGGCCACCGCGGCCGCGCCGGACGCTCTGCTCCTTCAGCAGCGGCTTGCTGCGGGCGACCTGGAGGAGCCGTGGCGCCTTGCCGATGGCTTCCTCCTGCATGGGCGCCATATCTTCGTGCCAGCACACGACGACCTCTGTCATCAGGTTCTGTTGCTGGCCCACTCGACGGCCACGAGGGTGTGCAGAAAACCTTACATCGTCTCCGCCCCGACTTCTATATCCCCGGTGATCGGGCCCTGGTCCAGGACTGGGTGCGGTCTTGTGTGACGTGCCAGCGCAACAAGACGGAGACACTATGGCCGGCTGGTTTGCTACAGCCCTTGGAGGTGTTGTCTCAGGTCTGGGCGGATATCTCCATGGACTTCATCGAGGGCCTCCCCAAGGTGGGCGGCAAGTCCGTCATCCTCACGGTGGTCGACCGCTTCTCCAAGTATGCTCACTTCATCGCGCTCGGCCATCCCTACACTGCCGCGTCCGTGGCCCGTGCCTTCTTCGACGGCATCGTCCACCTCCACGGATTTCCCGCTTCGATCGTCAGCGATCGGGACTCGGTGTTCACGGGGCATGTCTGGCGCGATCTCTTTCGGTTGGCGGGCGTGAAGCTCCGCCTGAGCACGGCCTTCCATCCTCAGACGGACGGCGAATCCGAGGTCGTCAACAAGGTGATTGCCATGTACTTACGTTGTGTCACAAGTGATTGTCCTCGCGCTTGGGTGGATTGGCTCGCGTGGGCGGAGTACTGCTACAACACCTCCTATCACTCCCTGCACGCCATGCCATTTGAGGTGGTCTATGGCCGCCCCCCTCCGCCCATCCTGCCGGTTGACCCGGCGACGGCTCGGACGGAGGCGGCGGGCGATCTTCTTCGCAGCCGCGAGGAGATGCTTGTGGAGGTCCGGCAGCGCCTCATTCAGGCCCAGCAGCTAGCCAAGCACTACTACGACGGCCACCATCGCGAGGCGGAGTTCGCGGTGGGCGATTGGGTGTGGCTGCGTCTTCTTCACCGCTCTACGCAGTCCCTGGACCCACGCGCGAAGCGCAAACTGGGCCCTCGCTACGCCGGGCCCTTTGCCATCTTGGAGCGCATCGGGAAGGTGGCCTACCGCCTTTAGCTTCCGGACGGTGCTCGCATCCACGACGTCTTCCATGTGGGGCTGCTGAAGCCCTTCCGTGGGGAGCCCCCGGCCACCACCCCCGCACTTCCGCCGACCTCCGACGGCCGCCTCCTTCCGGGACCCGCGAAGGTGTTGCAGGCCCAGCTACGTCGCGGGGTGTGGTATGTGTTGATCCAATGGGCTGGCCTTCCGGAGGAGGAGGCTACTTGGGAGCAGCGCGACGAGTTCCGCCAATACTACCCATACTTTCAGCTCGAGGACGAGCTGTTTGCGCAGGCGGGGAGAGATGTTATGACCGGGGTAACTTATACCCGTAGGAGGCCCACCGGGCAGGTTTAGTTAGGGGCTTAGCCCACAAGTTATCTTATTTTCGTGGTTATATAAACAAGCTGTAAGACTCTTTTTCAGATTAAGCAATAAGACAATTCTATTGCCCGGCTCCCAGAGGAGCCGGAAACCCTAAACCCTAGCCGCCTCCTCTCACCGCCACCGCCTCCTCCACGCGCACGACGGCGCCCAGCCGCCGGCGGCCGCGTGCTCACGCGCGCCCTGCTTCCTCCTTCCCCTACAATCTCCGGCCTAAACCCGGTAGAACCCTAGCTCCTACCAGCATGTGTGTCACGTGTGGTCATGCATGTCAGCTGTGTGCTTGTGCCTGTATGCTCGCAGTCTCGATAGTTTCAATAGTGAGAGAGAGTTTTATTTTGTGATTAAGTATTTCTGTCATGTTTTCCTAACAAATCTCGAAGTGTGTGTCTGTTGTACTTGCTGTTTTCTCAAAAATTAAATTTCTCAGTGTAGAATTTAACATCAACCTTCATGAGAGCTTTGAGATTAGTCCTGTTACCCCAACACAACTTGTTGTGTCACCCTAACACAACCTATTGTTGTCACTTGCAGGCAAGCAAAGCCCATCGGGTTTTTGGAGAGGTACCCGGCTCTTGTCACTGGTTTCTTCTTCTTCATGTGGTACGCTCACTCACCTCACCTGCGGGTCATATATCAGACAGTATAAATGGAAACCACAGATCTCTAATGGTTGCTATTTTGATACAATTTGTAGGTATTTTTTGAATGTGATATTTAACATTCTCAACAAGAAGATCTTTGATTACTTCCCCTATCCATAGTATGTGTCCGAATTCTCTTTTATGCTGCGATTAGTTCTGTTCATCATCTAAAAGTTTTGCCAATTCACATAGCTTTGTGTCGGTGACCCATCTTTCGGTTGGAGTCTTGTACTGCCTTATCAGCTGGAGCACCGGTCTCCTAAAGCGTGCGGTATTTCTCACCACAACCCTGACTCATGGTTCGTTATATTTAGTCACAACTAGTGATCAGGGTTTCACAAAATTATAATTTTGAAAACATGAAGCATTGGGTCATATTGATGTCTTTAGCTGTTTATATGTTTATTTTCTGAGGTACTTAACACAATTACTGATAATAATTTATTGGTACCATACTCCTTATGATTGGCTAACGATGTTGGTTCTCGATGGATATATACACAATTGAAGCAGCGGGTCAACTGAAACATTTACACAAATCACTCGAACTGCAACATTTTCTTTCTTTTTCTTTACCTCTTTGCAATCAACTGATGACTCATTCTCCCTGATCTCTTACACTATGGTGCTATAGAGTGCTTTTCTGAAAATTTCAGGAATTTACAAATGATGACATGGCTTCTAAGAATCACATTGAACTATGCATAAAATGTAAATAGTTCTTCGTTGAGAATTTTTTCTATATTTCCGTGAATCATCAAGTGTTTCTTGTCCATGTTCTTTTTATGTTAATGTCATTATTTCTGGAGGAAGTAGTAAACCCAATACTGTTGTACTCTTGTAGCCGATGAATTCGACGCTTCTGAAGCTGCTGCTGCCAGTTGCAATTTGCCATGCCATCGGTCATGTAACGAGCACTGTGTCTTTTGCTGCTGTATCGGTCTCATTTGCCCACACCATTAAAGGTGCTGCAACGATATTCTAATTTTGTTCTCCGTTTGTTGTGCTGGCGTTTTTGCTCTTTTATACATGTTTTCAATCTTTTAAGGAAAATATTTTAAATATTTTAATAACAAATAAATACAATCCAGCTCTCGAGCCGTTCTTCAATGCGGCTGCTTCACAGTTTATTCTCGGGCAGCAAGTTCCCTTCACATTGTGGTTATCTCTGGCTCCAGTTGTAATAGGTAATTTCTGGTTATTGCATTTTTTGCTTGTGATGCTATTCATATATAACTTAGGACTTTTTCTGTACAATATTTTCATCATCACTGTTATAATGGTTTAATATTCACACAAAGTTTTAGCTTCCCATGTTTTATGCTGTTTTTTTTGGGACAAGAGGAAAATATATGTTACAGAACACATAATTATCCGTGTGGTTGATGTGCAAGTGTTGTAGATTGTCGTTTTCGTTTTGATGTGTGACGATGTATGGGGTTGCTTAGGTCATAAAGTGTGACTAGCAAGATTGCTAAGATGAGCACCGTAGGCACTAGGCATGATAGTTTCTTTGTTGACACGATGATTGTAGAATCATGTTAGGATTACACCTTGAAAATCACGATTCTTATAATGAGATGTGGATCAGGATTAACTATTTTAAACTGAACAGGTGTATCAATCGCATCTCTCACTGAACTCTCATTCAACTGGACTGGTTTCATCAATGCCATGATTTCTAATATCTCGTTCACCTACCGTAGCATTTATTCGAAGAAAGCTATGGTTTGTGTCTTGCTTTAAGGTTTTGCACCCAGTTTTCCTTCCTCTTGAAGAATTCGTATTTAACAACTTTTCTCGTTATTTCTATTTGTCCTAGACTGACATGGATAGCACCAATCTGTATGCCTATATCTCTATAATTGCTCTCATCGTCTGCATTCCTCCAGCACTCATTGTAAGTCTATATTTATCACTAAACTTTAGATAATATGACACTGCAACTAATGTCACAAGTTCCTGTTCTTGAATATGTGTGGACATGGCTGCATGCAGTTTGTATATGCAATTATGTATAAGTAGATGATGCCCATGCGTTGGTGTGGGCATGACAATCCCAAATATTCTGCATGAACAATCTAGCATCATGATTAAGAGAGCATATATTTCGTTTATAATTTTGATTATAATATGAGTATTGTTTCTGCAACACAAACAATTGCGAGAATATTCAATGGAATAAAAAATTGCTTGTCCTGCAGCATTATGGCTTGTGACTGCGCGATTAAACTGATTCTTGGATATAAATTCCTATTCACAAACTACTTTTACTGCCAATTCTGCATGTATAGACCATTGATTGTGATATACTCCCTCTGTAAACAATATAAGATCGTTTAGATCACTAAAGTAGTGATCTAAGCAATCTTATATTAGTTTACTGAGGGAATATTTATTTATCACAGTGTTAACTTGCAGATTGAAGGACCTCAACTAGTGCAGCATGGATTTAAAGATGCAATTGCCAAAGTTGGATTAGCAAAGTTAGTTTCCAATATTTTCTTGGCGGGCTTGTTCTATCACCTTTATAATCAGGTATAAAGTTTCACTTCAAGATGGTATGAATCAACTTCAACCGTGCCAACCACAGTGTGACCCTCCATATAGTGCACATGGACTTCTTTTAGTTGTTCAGATACAGAAGATATCGCAGATATGCATTATAGTTGTGCCATTTTGATGATAGTTTTGTCATTCTTTCATTTATCTGTTATAATTTGGTCCTAAAAGAATTCTGGACATACAGGTTGCAACAAACACATTGCAGCGGGTGGCCCCTCTAACACATGCCGTTGGCAACGTGTTGAAACGTGTCTTTGTCATCGGCTTCTCAATCATCATTTTCGGTATCACTAAAATCTGTTGTTTCTTAAAGATCGATACATATGTCTGGCTCTTGTTCTTTTGCACTGGTGTACTCTTGTCACATAATACTTTTTGGAATGCTGAGCAGGCAACAAGATCACCACACAAACTGGAATTGGCACAGCCATTGCTATTTCTGGTGTTGCCCTATACTCAGTTATCAAGGCTAAGATTGAGGAGGAGAAAAAGGTATGTTAATCCTTACTAGATGTTCTAAATCAGAATAATTGGATTGTGTTGCATAATTCTACTATTCAATAGTACTTTCCATATTTTTGCTAGCTGCCTACTAGTTGTGGCTAAAAGGTTAATTAATATTCTTAGTGTCTGTGTCCTGCTCAGGAAGGCGTGGCGGCGGCGGCTCCCTGAAGATGGAATAAGGCCCTCTCCGCCTATCCCGCATCCTGGCGGTGCGTTTAGCGTTGTTGGAGGGTGTGTGGATGTGTGTCTTCGGCGGATCGCGCGGGATTCAGTCGGTATTGGTCTTTGTTGGATCTCCGTTGATCCAGTCTTTGTTCGTGTTCCTTCGCGTGTCTACATGTTAGATCCTTCCAATCTACGGTTCTCTTCATCGTCGATGATTGCTGTTCTGGTACCTTGGTCCTGTGGGGTCTTAGCATAGCATGATGACTTCCCGACTATATTTAGTACAAGAAGTTTGCCCGGCCCGTTGAGGGTCGGCGATGACCAGTGCACCTTCGGCTCGCTCCAGCTTTAGTCGTCGCTAGGTTGTCTATGAAATTAGATGTAATTTTAATATTTTTAATGTTCTTTGTACAATGCATAGATCAATTTTTTTTTGATATCTTAGGGTAATTTAAGCCAGTCTTCTTGCAGCTTAATATACGGCTGGAGAACTATTAAAAGACCAACCACTTTGTCCTGGTAAAGTTTAATTTCCTACCCGGGGGTCCCAGCTAGTCCTATGTGGCGCCTATCTAGTAGTAATCGTCAAGGTCGACGCCTACCTGGGTCGCTCTCACGACTTCGGAGACACCCAAACGCCAGCGACCTGCAACCAGGATCACCTCCTTCCTCATTCCTCCTCACCATCACTGACGATGACCTCCACAGCCGACCGATAGTGGTGGCGGGCTTCCTCTCTAAGCCTGCCCCTCCCCTTCTTCCCTAACCCTTCTCCTGATCTGACATCTGGTTTGTGATTTGCTTGCGCTAGCGCTACTCTTCAACGATGGTTTGGTCTGGCCGGCTTGCGGTGGGAACTATAGATCAGGCATAGCTCCTCAGTGATATGATGCTTGGGTTGAGTCCGTTCATGTCCCCCCGCAAATTAAAAAAAAAGTCAGTTCATGTCCTGGTTGCAGGTCGGCGCGTCCAAATGGCATGCCCCTGCTTTCATCCGACGCGACGGACACGAGTGCAGATGTCAGCGTGACCGGACAAGTGTGCCTGGCAGCTCTAGTGTGGCGGTCGGGTAGGGGAAGTCATGCGACGGATCGGTAAAATACAACCGTGGGCTCCTTTGATTCAAATGATTTTCATAGGAGTTTTGAAGGATTAGAATCCTTACGATTTTTTCATATATTGGTTGTTTGGTTCATAGGATTGAATCCTATAAAAAAAATTCTAGAAATTCTAGCATCCACTCATACCTCTTTGAGGCCTTCTTTGGTTCATAGGGTAGGAATATCGTAATAATAGAAAACTTGTAGAAAATGACATGTCATGTATCTCATATCCTATGAGTAAGAATATGAAGAGTGCTTTTGGTTCACATCATATAAAATTTTCCAAGAGTCTAGACTAATGTTTATTTTCCTATGAAAGGTGAAAGACAGGAAGAATTGCTTCACAGAAATATGATTCTATTCCTACAACTCTGAAGGATTTTTTTTCCTATAGAATTCCTACAAAACTCCTCCAAACCAAAGAACGCCTGGAAGAATTATTTGTTTTTTTTATGATGCAATCAAACAACCCAAAAATTTGTAGGATTGAGATGACCATGGCACTTCAATCTTACGTTCTTCTATTCCTATGTTTTTAGAATCCTACGAATCAAAGAGGCCTTACATGTGTGAAGATATGCAGGTGTTGTGCCGATTGTCATGATCCCGTGATTTGTGTGTTCGCTGGGCGCAGCCATCTGCGCCCTCGTGAGGCAATCCTTCTTTTGGGAACTTCGATGGCGTCGTTGTTCTGCGCTATTGGCGTGGACGGTGCAACCAGAGTTGGCACATGATGATTCTGTCTAATATAGTTTTATCACTGATACATCTCAAACGTATCTATAATTTTTTAATTATTTCATGCAATGTTTATATCATTTTGTCATAGTTTTGACATTTTTTTTCTGGACTAACATATTAACTTAGTGCTGTTGATACTTTCTACATGTCTTTGGACTAAAATCAATTTTACGGAGCTCCAAAATTCCCAAGAAAAATCAGAAAAAGTTTTGAGTCGGCAAGCTTCCAAAGGGTTTGGACTCCACATGCGGGGCACAGCTGTTGAGGAATGTAGTAATTCAAAAAAAATTCTACAATCACGCAAGATCTATCTAGGAGATGCATAGCAACGAGACGGGAGAGTGTGTCCACGTACCCTCGTAGACCAAAAGCGGAAGCGTTTAGTAACGCGGTTGATGTAGTTGACCGTCTTCATGATTGATCCAAGTACCGAACGTATGGCACCTCCGTGTTCAGCACACGTTCAGCACAATGACGTCCCTCGAACTCTTGATCCAGTTGAGGACGAGGAAGAGTTCTGTCAGCACGACGGCGTGGTGACGGTGTTGATGATGTTACTGGCGCAGGGCTTCGCCTAAGCACTACGACGATATGATCGAGGTGTTAAACTGTGGAGGGGGCACCGCACACGGCTAAGAGAATAACTGTTGTCCATTGGGGTGCCCCCTACCCCCGTATATAAAGGAGAGAGGGAGGAGGCCGGCGGCCTAGGAGGGGCGCACCTATTGGGGGAGTCCAACTAGGATTCCCAATCCTAGTTGGAGTCCCCTTCCTTTTCCAAGAGGGGGGGGAGGGGTGGAGAGG